ATAAACTTTTTGCTATTACCAAATTTATTTATACTCCCAATCTCTTTGTTGAGCTCCAAACCTATACATATCCAACTATTAGATACCTCCACTTATCTCACACATAGGCTTAACTTCTCAAACTTCATGATTAATACCTCTTCTTTCCTTATAGTACCAAACAAACCACTATTCCTCCCCAGTCCCATCTCAGGTATGAGAACTACTGGCCCAGGAAATCAACTTTCTCTTCTCCATATAATCCCAAATCTAATCCATCACCAAATCCTAACAATTTCACCTCCCAAAAATATGCAATTCAAGCTACTTGCCTCTTACCTAAATTACCATACTTTTGCACTGCTTTCAGTGGAACTCAGACCCTTTGCACATGCTAGCGAAGCTACAGGCCCTTTCACATGCTAGCCACCAAGTTATATCCCGAGACCCTTAAATTACTCTTACAGTTGAAATCAATGCTATTCAAAGTGTGGTCTGTGAATTAATATTGATCCATAAACGTCTAGAAACTTTTATAGCAATCTAACATGTCAATAGCAATTATAGCAATTCATTTTATTGTGCATTATTAAAGCACCAGTATTAACTAGATATTAAAACAAAAACAAAAAAAGTGGTCCTTTACCACAGGTAAACATGAGAAGCACTGACCTAACTGACCACCCTGCATTTACACTTCCCTCTCGTCTGTACTCCATCAAGGAGCCAAGTAATGTTTTTTAAAGCAAAAATCTAAGTAAATTACTCAGCTTTTTAACATTCTCTGGTGGCTTCCTATTGCTCTTCCTATTGCTCTTAAGATTAAATCCAAAATGTTTAGCACGGATTTTGATCACTGTGGTATGCTCTGTTCTCATTTCCCATAAATTATCCTCATGTGCTAAGTCAATCCCTTTCTACAGTTCTAGAAAGTTAAAACTGTCAGCATCACTTGGTTAATGAGCTCACCCATTAGATTTCAGACTAAAAGTCAATTCTTTAGAGGCATCCTCTGATAGACTATAGCGCCTTTTCATTACATACAATAATGTTCCTATGTAGCCCTTTCATATCTAGTTACTATTTTTGCTGCTTTTTAGTTTCTTTGCTCCCCAACTGACTTTTGCCTCTATGAATATAACACCCCTCCTTTTTAAAAAATTTACATGTATGACCAGAGCCTAGTAGAGAGCCTAGCACAGATAAGTTATTTACTAAACTTTTGTTAAGTGAGCAAATCAAAGAAACAAAACAATGAGTAGGCCCATAATATAAATGCCTTCATTATCTGACCATACAATTGGGATAAGCGTATCAAGTGCTTTACAAAAGTTAAATATCCTTTATTCTGTTAACCTAAAATGGCAGGGAAACCCCACTGTCAAGATAAATTTTTAAAATAAAACATTTTCAGAAAGATGAAGAATCTTATCTAAATTAATCAACAAGGATGTGACAAATCTGAGGTAACAAGGGGTAACATACTCTAGACCTATATTGCCTGGCTGCACTGCTTACTGAACTGTATGATTTTGTGAAGTTAATCTGTTTCTTAGTTCCTCATTTGTAAAAGGGGAATAACAATAAAGGTTTCTTTAAAGGATTACTATGAGTTTAAGTGAATTAATATATAAAGACCCTGAAGTGCCGGGGGTTTAGCTCAGTGGTGCCACAGCCTGCCTTGCAAGCATAAGGTCCGGAGTTCAATCCCCAGTACCAAAAAAAAAAAAAAAAGACCCTGAAATAATGCTTGGCACAATGTACTGTCAGTGATATCATTATCTCAAATTTTATCTGATTATTTGTTTCATGTCTGTCAGTGTCACAGTAGAATATAAAATATTTTAAAAAGCAGAGGTTACATCATTATTATTCTCTGATAGAGCTTTTTCCAACCAGGACTATACACGAATTAAGTCCTGTAAAAACTGATTTGGGTACTATTTACTCAGTTCTCTAAGAATGGTACATCATTAAAGGGTCAGAGGCAATGAAGTAATTCATTACCAACCTTGAATGACGTAAAGCAGTGACAGTGAACCTTTTAGAGCTTTCAATGATACAAAGAGGCAACAGCAGCACACGTGCCATGGGTTTGCCACCACAGACTTAGCATTATTAGAGCTTGATTTTCACAGAGAACATGACAGAGAAGGGCCACTCCCATGTATTTCCCAATGCCTGGCAAGCAGCAGGTGGTCATTAAATATTTTTGGAAAGAATGAATACTTACAAAACCAAAAGAATAATGCTAAGCATAGAGTAGATGCTAAATGTCAATTTCAATCCATCCCTACAAAGTTTCTTTAGGAGGAGCTTAGGAGAGTTTCATTGGAAGAAAAACAGCTCCTAGATTTCCAGGAGGGGTCCTGAGTGGGTGGCCCTAGTCCTAAAAAGTTTCTAGAAGCTTTAAGTCAGATTCTAGGAAAGTCAATTTTTTCAAGTTGCATTGTCTATACTTTTCACAGTAAAAATACAAAATGTAGACTCTAGAAAATCAAAAAACAAAGAAATCAATGTTGGCAGGAACTATGTGGAAGTAGTAAGAGGTAAAAAACAGGTAGAATTTGAATACATAGAAGAGAGCAGAGGATATTCTAGGCCAATGAATAGCCTTAGCAAATGAATTATCACCCAAATTATGGAGCATATTCCATGGGCAGCACAGAAATTACTTTAGGTGATAAATTTTTGATAATTATGTGTGTATATATATATTTTACATGTGATTAAAACAATAAATAGAGAATTCAAATTTTTATTATTTGGAACAGTAAAATAAATAATATCTATTTATAGTTTAAATGAATCCTATTAAAAAACTGTCAGCATTTTTAAAAGTGAATAAAATGTGGTAAATACTAAGTAAGTCATGTGACATGAATGAGCACAACAGATTAAAAGGAAAAAAGCTACTATTCTTCTCTGTGAAGATAGGGCTCTAATTCGTGTTTCAAATTAAAGCCAAATGGTTATGAAGAATATCCTACCAGCTTTGACTATTTAACTTGCGGTACTAAAATTGCTATGTGTAAAATCTTCATTTTCCATTATGAGGTATCTGCTGCATATTTCAACTCCATTTATTCTCAAAAAGAAAATAAAATTTTAGAAGTCTCAAAAAAGTATCTGAAATAAGAACTCATCTATCTGTAGGTTGGCAATTTACTTGAAAACAGAAAGCAAAACCCTGTATTTTTCAAATCACAAAAATTAATTTATATAATAAAATACAAATTAGATCTACAATAAAAGGGGGTTAAATTAAGAAAAGTGTAAGAAAGCAGCTCTCCATTCTCATTTTCCTCTCTCAGAATTAACCTACCAATAGTTACAACGAGTCAAACTATGCGATGATAAAGGTAACATTTATCAAGTGCTGACCATGTGCCAGGCACTGTTCTAAGTATTTGACCTGCATTAACTTGTGCAATCACTGCCACCCTTATAGTCTGTAAGAATACCAAATGGCAGAGAGGTTAAATAACTTGCCCAAACCAAAACTGGTAAGTGGCAGGCGGGCAATTCCACAAGTTTGAGCTTCTAACCACTAGGCAACATTTCTATCAATGATGGGATAATAAATTGTAATATTCCATCAACCCCATCACAGCGAAAGAGATGCAATTTTCCAAGGTATAAACTTTTTACTGCTTCATTAACCAGCCCAAGAAACGGTGGGTTACATTGGAAAGAAGTGGGAAGAACAGTTACCACAATAGGCAAACTACGCCCAGAACTGTTTAAATTCAGTATAGACAACACATTAGGGTGGTGATGGCTGCGTAAGATTCACTTTCTGCTTCTTCTAACTATTTCAATGTCATGGAAGAGTAAGTGAAAAGTTAAAAGAAGCAGAAAGTGAATCTTATTTCTACTGGAATCTGTGACTTCTTTGAGAAAATTCTATCTACCATGGCTTTTCTCTATGTGAGTCTGTACACAAATACACAGATTCAAGAATAACTAGGAAAAAGGGTGGCAGCATGGATGAAAAAGGGAAGTCAAGATTTGGATCTTTAAGGCTTGGACTTGAACCGCAGTGCTAGCTTCATGCTCTCTGGTAAAATCGAGAATTCATGAGAAGGCCAGTGTGTGCTCAGAGAGAGGACAGGACCACCAGAGTGGAGACAGCGTGGTCTGCAGAGCTGAGAACTCACCCTATAAAGTGCTAATGAGGTTGATAGTTTCTAGCGTCAGCGATTGGGATGAGGAGGTCTGGAAGTGGGCGCTGCGCTACGGTGGACGCAAGGGCGCTTTCTCGCTTTGGGCGGTATGCAAGGACAGGCAGAAAAAGAAGGTAGAGAGGCAAGGCACAGGCGATACAAAGGTATGAGAGGAGGGAGTCCGAGTAGAGGAAAAGGGGCGAGGCCCGTGGAAAAAACTAAGGAGGACCCAGATAGACAGAGGCTGGGAAACCCAGCAGCGGCGAGGGCCGGAGGGCGGTGAGGGGGGGCGGAGGGCGGGCCGAGACGAAGAGGCGGCCCGAGGCGCTGGACTCGTGGTCCCCAGGGCGCGGGCAGGGGGACGGAGGAGGCCGCCAGCCCGGCGGGGAGGGAGGAGCGAGCGACAGGGCCGCGGGGGACGCCGGGGCGGGAGGGACACCTACCGGGACGTGCGGGGCGGCGGGGAGCAGTCTCCTCCGCGGCTCCTGTCCGGCTGAGACGGCCACGGGAACCGAGGTTGCTGCGGCGGGGGTGATGGCGGCGAGTCCCTGTGGCGGCCGCCTCTGCCGAACCGCATCCCTCCTCCTGGTCCGCCCTGCTTCCTTCACTCGCTCGCCTAAACTTCTTCCCCGGGATAAACAAACCCGCCGCCAGGGGCGGCCGTCTCCGCCGCTCCCGCCCCCGCGCGCCCCCCCACCCCGCCCGGGGCCCGTCGGGGCTCCGGCTCCCGACGAAGGACTCCAGCCCCGTCCAGCCCGCGAGGGCGCGTGCGCGGCGCGGCGGCTCGCGAGGCGCTTCCTGCCGGTCAGGCGCGGGCACTTCCGGGCGGCGCGAGACGCGCGGCTGGGCTAGCTCTGCCCCCTCCCTACCCCCCGCCCCGGCCTTCTTTCTGACGCAGCGCGGAGAGAGGTCGGACCTCGCTCGGGATGGACCCTTCCTGGACAAGCAGAAAACCTTCCTTGCCTAAAAGGCCTACTAAAGACACTTTCCATTCCGCTAAAGGCGGCTGCCATTTCCGCTCGCAGTTATTCTCTTGGGGTCGAACTAGTCTAGAGCGCTAAGGTGCAACTTTGGCTCGGCTCATTTTGCGAGTCTAGGACTATATGAATTGCTGAAACACAAAGAGCTGTACCGAGACAACAACACGAAATGCCACGGCTTTCAGCTGCAGATGAGTGGCAACTCTCCGGCCAGAGCGGAATAGCATGCGGAGACTTGGACATGCAAAGACCAGGCAGCAGGCACGGAATGGACGTTGGCGAATAGAGCTAAACAGACATCTGAAGAGAGCCGCTACGGTTTAGAGAATGGCCCGACCAGAGAATCTGTCCAACAGGACCATGGGAGAAATATCATTTAGCTAGCTGCCAGGAGTAAAACCTCATTAAAGAGGTCGAATCTCACTCGAAGATTCCAACTCTTCTTACTTTTAACTGCATTAGCTAACTTCTGGTCGCTTCCTGGGCTTCCCCTGAAGAGGGAAGAGGTAGGAAAATATTGTTTTACTATGTGTCAAATACTACACAAAGCACACTCTTATATCATCTTTTTTAGTCCTTAGCAAATTCTGCAATTTCGTAGTAGAAATTATTCCCAGCTTGTACCTAAAACGAAGACCACAATTCATCCAAGCCTTATCAAAGTTGAAGGGGCAGATGCCCCCTTCTTCAAATTAATAGCTTGGTGGTAATTAGTGTTAAGACACAAAACATGTTTGAGGTTTAATCAGCACCAAAAGTTTGCAGAAAGTGATAAGATCAGAGTAAAACATTTGCCTTGTATTGAGCTGGTAGAATACTCAGGCAGTTCAAGGAACTCTAGAAGTTTAAAAAGTAGAAGTGGAAGGAACACTGAGAAGGAGAAAGGGGAAATATTAGTGCAAACATTTCAGCATCCCCAAGCCCTAAAAAATAATAGTGAAAACTGCTGTAGTCATTATGTCTCTGTAGAAAGGATAACTAATTTGCTAATTATTTTTGCAGTTATAAAATAAATATTAGGGTTTTTTTTAAACAAAGTGTTGATATGTATGTAATCCCGGCCAGCCTTGAACTTACTATGTAGCCATCCAAACTAATCTGGAAATTGAGATCCTCCTAACTCAGCCTCCAAAGTGCTAGAAATACAAGGGGTATCACACCCAGTTTAGGTCTTTTTATCTAGGAGGAAGTATTAACACCTATATATGTGCACTTGTAATTTCTGATACATGAAATTCCATTTTCTTTTCCCATATCTCTTTTTCTAGTTTCGCTCTCCGCCTTCCATGTGAATTCCTAGTTTAATGATATTTTTTAATCTGACTTTTTAAAGATACAAACTTCAGAACTAAAGCATTAAACCTACAACCCTTGTGTAGTGATGCCTATAGCAACAAAAAAAGGGCTAATAAATATACACTCACATATTTAATCTTTGGTCTTTGGATTATCTCTCTTCTACCACAGGAGATGATTTTTGTGTTTCTTCTGTTACCATGTGAAGAGTAGGGTTGTGTTCCAGTTGAATAGTTGGCATACTGCCACATTTTGCACCCATTCCATTTATGAATTTTAATCAAGATTAAAAATTCTTGAGGCTTTTGGAATGCTAGTAATCCTGAGATTCTGAATCTTTATGTGCCGATGAATTAGAAATGCAGTATCTCCCCAGGGGGAATATATCATCTTGGAAAAATCTTGGCTGTTGTACCTCCAGGTTCTCTGTAGTGTAATGGAAGAAAAACATTAGAAATGATCTCTTTTCCAGGAACTTTCAAAATGCCTAAAGCATCCTCCTGGCATCCCCTCAGGACTCTCATCCAGAGTCACTTACAGTTGCTGGATCTCTTTCATTGTGCTGGGATCCAGGTGGTCACTGCTGCCATGATCTGCTCTCCAATGACTTTTGTCTTCTGCTGGTCCAGCTAATCTTTCTTCTGCTGGTTGTCTACCCCTGCTCCTTCTCTGCTCTCAGGTAATCTGACAAGCTTCAGTTGTCTCTGGACCCTGGAGCTAGCCCCAGAGGATGCCTCCAGTCTCCACTCTGCTATCCAGCCAGAGGTCACCAGCCTCTGCACCCACCCTAATTGGTTCTAGAGGTGCAGCTGCTCAGGTTTCCTCTTCTTTTTAGTCTGCTCAGTTATGACATTGTTTCCGGGTCAGGGTCTGTGCTCCCTGCCAGAAAGACACACCCTCCTCCAGATCAGAAATATACCTGGTTTAAAAGTTTGTAAACTTCTGTCCTTGCCCTACCCACCAGGTGGTTACCCATCTCTGTATTCTTTTACTCTCAAATTAGGGCCACTTTACCCCACTTGCCTCTGAACCTGACCCAAAAGATGTGTGCTCCATGGCCTATTTCTCAAGGCACAGGAAAGAGCCCTGTGTCATAGATAATGATCTCTGATTGGATGACCTCCTGTTTTACTCAGACTCTGGCCCCAGGCCTTCCAAAGAAGAGGCATATAGAATTAGGCCCTGTGGTGGACCAACAATCTTTTCTTTTTCCTTTTTCTTTTTAAAATTGTATTATTATATGTTTGCAGTACATAATGATTACATTCATAATGGGGAGTTGGCACACGTACCAAACACATCTTAATTGTAGAAGCTCAGTCTTATTGGTTGACCTTCTTCATCGTTGCTAGGATTTCCCTGTAGCCAGTCCTGTACTAGGTGAACCCTGGGGCCTAGGAACCTCTGGGCCTCTGTGTTCTTTGGCAGTTTTTCCACTGCTGGCTTTTTCTACAGAGTTCTACTCATTCCCTACTTCTCTTCTGCCATCTCCCTGGTTTAGAAACCAGACTCTGTGGTCTCATCTTTGTCAGTTCTCCATTCATACCCATATACAACACTGGCCACCTGCCTCCAGATGGTTCTCTCAGCTCTTCAGAGTCCTTTACTGTCAGAGAGCCTGCTGGACTGGAAACACTGCTATAGCCTCTTCCAAAATTAGAAAGCAGACTGCACCATCTCCAGAAAAATTGTGCCTCCCCTTTCCAGCCCTTAGTGAAACCAACCTTTGCAGCTGTCCCAGATACCCATTTTCCCAGGCTCTGTCTTCTCTCACCCACATGTCTGACTCTGGTGATTTGAGGTAGTACCTTCTACACCTTGCCTGCCCAGCCTTTTAGCACACTCTTGACCTCCCCTGCCTGCCCTATGCCAGAGGGAAGAAGAGTCAATTCAAAGGTTACATAAACCCTGGGTATTCCCTAAGAGGACTCATCCCACATCTACAAAAACACTGGAAAATGTAGCCATGTCCTATGTAAACACTACAATGTTTTAAGAAAAATTAAAGGGATTTATGTAATTTTCCTCTTGAAATATTTATTAACTTCATTTTGCAGTTTTCTTTGTGTTTTAGAGCCCAGAAATTTTCTTCTCTATTTCTCAGACAACTTAATAAAACATGGAAGCACTTCTGAGCACTTAGTACTATGGCAGTAGTGAGAAACTGAGCCTTAAAAGGTTAAAGAAAAAATGTCTCTGAAAGGAGGGAGAGAGGTTAGCACTTCTCCAGGTTTCTATGACTCAGTTTAGCCCTTGCCTCGATTATCACCTAAATCTCTGTCTTACCCAGTTTTTCATAACCCAGTAGGCTCTCTACCTGATCCATGCCACAGCCACTCTCCTTTTGCAAGTTCTGCTCACTACAACACTCCCTATTTTCCCTAGGCATGCTGCCCTGCCTAGATTAATGAATTGCAGAGTATCACCAGGCCCTCAAGTCCCTTTCAGAGCTTTCCTTCCATCTCTGAGGAGCCTATCACATAAGACTGCTGCTTAGGTCTTTGGCATTTGTTTTCTTTACCCTGTAGAAATGAGGATCTCCTCAGATTGTACCCTCTCACGTTTATAGCTGCATTAGGCTCTCATCAACTCCAAGAGTCAGGTCTGCATATGAGATGCTTCAGTCTCACCCTTTCTGCTGGATCTGATCCTCTAAGCCCACTTGTGTCTGAAGCAGGATAGCTACCAGAAAACACACTTTAAAATGTTCCTGCTTAAGTGCCTGTCCCCATTTCTCTTTGCTTTGAGTGTCGCTTTTTCTTAAGGAGGCCTTTATAGCTCATTTTCCTATGGCATCACTGCTGTACTTCTCATGGCTTTCTCAATCACTCAGTATGTAGATCCAGCAAATACACAAGAAAACTAAAATGTCTCAAGCAGTTAGCCCAAATTATGTCTCTTCTAAATATTAACCAGTACTTACTTTAAATAGCCATTGGTAGATTGGCTTTTACTTCCTAGGATATCAGGTTTTATCCTAGTGATTCTGCAATTTCAATATACTACTTAAAATTAAATTATGAATATTTCTTGCACACAGTAAGCCAGTGAAGAGAAAAAGCCTCTAATGATAAATTATTGCCTTTTTTAGTCTTTTTAAATTTATATTCCCAAAACAAAATTAAGCTAGCCTTTTAAAAGCTTGTGTTTTGCTACAGTCTGAAGTTTTAAGAAGAAAGGCAATAAATGTTTTTATTTTCATGTTGTCAACAGCTCAACAAGAATTTGCCTCTATTTTGACTGTGGAGCCTACTATGTGCAAAACAAGTGTGACAAAATCCCCATTCGTTTTTCAGTACTTATTTAAACTATTTTCTTTCATTTTTTTTCTTTTTGAAAAAAAATCCCCTTAGTTGTAGTCATTTCACCATAAAAGTTCTAGATATTTATATAAAATATTACTGTGCTTCATTTGTCAGATTCTCTTTTTGACTTCGATTTTATTTTAATAGTTTATTTTTTCTGGAGAGATTTAATACATCTTACCTTGAAGGAAAATATAAAAGTCTTCAATGTTTACCCTTTGCCTTAAACCAACTTGTGGTGTTCTTCCATTGGCATGAGGTCAACAGGCCATGTGATGACCCTGGGCCTGTTTACCTTCACATTTCTCCTCACCTTCTCTGCCCCATATCTCAGCTGGCTTCCTGCTGGTTTAGGCCAGTGAGGAGCATTATAAGGTGACTGAGGGGTGGGAGAATATAGCATGTTCTCCACCTCTTTTTCTGCCTTTGGCACCAAACATAGTAGCAACTGTTCCTTTCACAGGTCCATTTCCTGCTGGACAGGCCTGCCACAGAATAAGCCTTGGGCTCTGGAAATGCAGCTTCCTCCAGCCCACCTATTTAAAAGTGGCTTCTTGTGGTTTTTAATCCCTGGATTCATCTGTTTTTCTGTCACTTGTTCAATGGATTCCCTGTATCAAATTCTTTGACGTAGAAAATGTGGTTCCTATTTAGCTGGTTGGACTCAATGCATTAATCCATTTTATGTTTTTATAAGAGTTTTACCCTGCTTGGAGTGATTTTTCTTAGGAAAGGTAGTCATTAAATGTAAGAATCTGTGCTCTTCCGAATGGCTTGACTATAAGAAAATTCTTTTTCTGCTCCTCTACCTCTATAGTTGCTCCTTACCTTCCATATCCAACCCATGCACTGTCCTCTTCCACTCTTTCCAGCCTTACAACACATGATATCTGTTTTGGAACCAC